TCAATTGGCAATGAAAACTAGTAGAAACCATTTAAAACAGATGTTTGGTTTCCTGGAGAAAGACATTGGCACATGCAAATTAACTTAAAATAGTCATTCATTACGATGTTTATACCTCATTCAAATTCTGTCCATCTGTCAATTCTAGTTTGAATGGTGGAAACTAGCGTCAAACTAAGTGTGAGCTGTGTCCGTGTTTCAAAAGGAACAGTTGTGTAAACAAGATAAATTTAATAACATAAAAAATAGGCGAAACAACTTAGAGATCAAGTAATTTTTTTTACTGTCATGTTAAATTTATCTTTTTAGACAGCAAATTTTAGTTTGTTCTTGCAAAAAAAAGGTCTAGACAAACTATAGAATTTTAGAGACCTTTTTGTAGGTGTGGTCTCCGTGTGAAGTGCTGTAGTCAGCAGTGAGAGAAAGACAAATTGAGTATTTACYTTTTTCAGGAATACTTGTGTGCATATGGAGGCACAGCTCTTGATGAATGGAAAAAACACATTAGACAACATGATATGTCATCTGCAAGGTAATTTTTTTTACTAGTTTGATAGGGCATACTAGGAAATTCCAATATCCTTTTTAGGTTTTGAGAACATGGTTTTTGTCCCACTCGGAATGTTGGTGTCCAGAATTCCCTCCAACTGAGTTATGTGGAGCTCTGTTAGGAACATAATAGATGGCTCTAAGCTGTAACCACATCCACCCTCCTAAAGGTCCCCTTTAGAAGTCATTTTCAGAATTTCCTTTGTTGTTCTGATTAAGGCAAATTTAATGCATGTACACTATGTAGTGTTTAAAAAACGAGCAGGAGTGCTTTATCRGGATATATAGACACGAGGCCAAAGGCCGAGTGTCTATATCCCTGATAAAGCATGACTGCGAGTTTTTTGTACTACTTCTAGAACTCCAACATCCAGAAATTGTTATCAAAATTTAGAAAAAAGCTAAAAAATGCAAAAACAGAGATTATGCATGTTAAACTTCTACTGAGCATGTGCATTTGTCACAAATGAAAGAATTTTGATCCCACACGTAAGAACGGCTAGTCTATGCTATACTGCATATCTGCACATTGATTCAAACTGATTTAAAACCTAGCAAAGGTCTATGATGCGACATTAAAACTGAGACCTTTGCTAGTGTTGGGTTGCGATAATAATAATAACCTTCAACATCAGTTCTTTATATCTGATATAGAACTGATGATTAATAAAACATCAGTTCTATATCTCTGATATAGAACTGATTAATAAAACATCAGTGCTTTATCGGGATATAAGGTCCATCATGTGACCCAATAGTTGGATTCTGATTGGACTAATAGCTCATGAATTATTAATGAGTTCTAGAAGGATATGATAAAATGATGTAGCCTGCAGTTAATTCTTTGTCTTAATTTTATAGTGTTCGGCTGATTGCCTCAGTACCAGGGCGTCACTCAGGTCTAAGTAAAGCTAAATGGGGCCACTTGAAACTCAGAAAGGTAAGCTTGCTTTTTCATGCAAAGTTTCATTGTTGTCTTAGTTTGTTCCGATTATTATGACTAGACTGAAGAGAATAAATTGTTAGTAGAAAGGTATTAATTGGAAGTTATAATACAAATAATATTCAAATTTCAGCAGCTAGCACCTCTTCATACACCTTGCTTTTGAACTCTCAAAATATTTTCTTGCTTTTCATGTTCCAAATTTTAAGATTTAAAAATCAATAAAATCCAATTTTGAAATAAATGATTTGTGATTCAAGGTCCTTCAAGAAAATGGGCCAGCATCAACAGATGTTTCACAAAACTGGCCTGTGATTGGACAGTTTTCTAGTATTGGTTCCCTTGGTAATGACAAAAACAAATGGGTTTGTGCTGAATGGCTTCAGAGCATGGCAGCAGTGACTGGCAGGACCTTTGGTTCCAATCCGCCATTGAACCTGGTAACAAATAT